ATGTTACACGGCTTTATTATCATTCGCACAGTAACCTTAAGTAGAGACGAGAGAGACGTTTCACATATTGTCAAATTCTTTCTTACATAGTCAACTTTGACGATACAAACAGTACCGTGATAATGTTTCTGACTTACGATCATTCGGTCAATGACTCTCGAGCAGTGAGGTAGTGATATGAGACGTTTTATATATTATCAAATTCTTTCTCTAACCACAATTGCAAGTGAAACAAGGAACTTTTCGTGAATGAGTGTAAGTGCAACGTGGAATTCAAATGAGTGCAACCAGAATTGGAGTGCCACGAGGACAAAGTGAAACAGAAGAAAAAAAGAAGGTCTTGGAAATAGATGGATCAATAAGATGTAAGTCATTAATATTTTTATAAGTTATAAAATTTATATAGTATATTAAAAAATTAATTATATATTATATTATATATAAAATTATATATAATATAATGTAACCCTCCCATGAGGTACACCTTGTCGCGGTGGGAGGGCTTAGTACTTGGATGGTGCCTTGAGATTTATCTTAAATTTTTCTGTTTATGATAAATCTTAAGGTGCCTGAATGGGAAGCTAAGTACCTTTTCGCGTCGTCGGTGCCGTCAACGTGCCGCGGACGGCAAACGTTTCGTTACCGCGTTTTCGCGTTGTAATTCTCACGTCGTCGCGTTTTCCGAAACCGGGAGTGTCGTACAAAGTATATATATAATAAATATATACATCGCGTGACCAAATTTTTAATCGTACCGAATTAGTGCGGGAGTGCCGTTTAGTATCGCGCGTAAAATAGCGGAAATAGCAATATAAAAATATCGCTCGCGAGTGCGGGAGTGTCGTTAAAGTATCGCGCGCCAACAACATGAGAGGAGGAGGAGGCCTGAGAGAGGCATCTTGCATCGGCGGAGCAACCTAATGGTGAATATTTATTATTTGTATATCAATTGTATATAAATTGTATGGATAATAATTCGGTTTTATTATTAAAATGAATTAAAGAGAATAGAGAAAAAGATTTTTATAAAAGTCATATAAAACTTTCTATTTAAAAAAACCGTCTCACAAATTTATAAAATTTTTCCACACGTGTTTATCTCTGCTTATTATTTTACACATCGGATATAAAATTTCGAACGATAAGAATTTTTTGAAATATTGATTGCATTTTGTGAACATTATTATAAATGAATTTTATATTTGTATGTTACAGACAACTAGCTTCGATAACAACAACTCCGCTGTTGCGCATCAGTGCCGGTGAGTGAGAAAAACTTTTATTTAACTTTAAAACAACGGATTCGTAGACATTGTAGATGTAGATGTAGATGTAGATTGTAGATTGTAGATTGTAGTAAATCCGTTGCCTTAAAATAGCTAGGATAGATTAAATTAAAAAATTATTAATAAATTCTTTCGAAATGCTTTGTATCTATTGCCAAAATCTATTGAAGTATTAATTTAAAAAAAAAGATCAATATATCCACTTTTAGTGCATTTTGAGTATGAGAAATTGTGTCGAGTATTACAATTTGATCTTAGCTACAGTGCAGAGATGTATTTTTTAATATTTATTGCGTTTTTACCGAAATATTCCGAATTTTGTTAATCGAAATGATTAACTTTTGGCAGAGAATTTCGCCTTGTGACAGATACATAGCTAACTTCATTGAATTATATTTAATATCTTTTTAACCAGTTAGTATTTATATAATATTATTTGATCAAATTTTTCCTCTGTATCTAAACTTTTGGAAATGTTAAACAAATTCTGAATATTATTTCCATGTGTTTTTGTCATTTGAATCGACGTGGTTATACGTTTCTCATAAAAACACATGTTAATTCGGTGCAAATTAAAATCCTTATAACTTGCGAACGCTTTAGTGAATCGATTTAAAAATTGTACTAAAGATTCTAAACATGTGTAAGGACATTCTGTACAATTTTCATTAAATTCTCAATATTTTGAAAATAGATACAAAACATCCTTAATATTTTAATATCATTATTATACTCAAATAATTATTTGAATAAATAATGATGTTAAAATATTAATTAACATCTCAATAATTTATTGGATAAACAAAAAGATCGGTGCAATAATGATTTAACGTTTATCTGACTCAAATATTTATTTTCAATTAATTTTCTTTAATCTAATGAAATCAGAAGAAATTAAATTCGGTCTAAATTTAATAAATTTTAGGGTAGCTAATAATTAAAAAAAAAAGTCGTATACTCGCATATTACATATTTATATAAGTAATAACGTTGTTATTTGAGCTGTACTGATTGTGAACTATATAAATGGAATCCAGTAACGAAATAAAAGGATCAAACGATGCAAAAGGCTCTCACAAAAACAACCAATACTCGTAAAGACTCGACTTTTCGATGGAATCGGTTTCAGCAAACGTAACAATTTCATGGCGCATTATTTCCACGCGGGCAAATATTTTTTGACGACGGAATTGGAAGAGTGAAAATTGCATTGTTTTCCTACGTGACGCACGTCGGCGGGCATAGAAATGCGTGGGGTGACGACAAAACGCGCAGATATGCGACACCTACGCACGAGTGCGTAGCGCCATTCAGTTATATAAATCTCAATGTCCGACGTACGCGTCCTCCTCCACGCAAAGTCGTTGGTTAGCGATCTATTTATATTTCGACGAAGGTCTCCCTGCGCGGGAAAGGGTGAGAAAAGTCGAGGCGTCGTCGTGCGACATCGGATATCTCCCTTGCATCGAGTTATTTTTAGAACTGCCCCCGGCGAGAGGATTCGCTTGCTTCGAAAAGCGAGCAAGTCTGCAGTTTTGACAAAATATGTATCTTACTTTTTTTCTCGACTTTAAGGAAGTTTAATTAATGCGATATATTAATTTTAACAATAAATTATTATAGTTTTAATTGTGACATTATAACATTTTAAATTATATAATTATAATAATGTATTAGATATTTTTGAATTTTTTAAAATTACATGAGTAAATACATTATGTTACGTAATAGTGTCTCATTATAAAAAATCAAATCATAAATTTTATATACAGGGTGTCCCAGACTTAACGAACCAGCCGTTAATGGTAAATTCTTGAGATCATTTGGAAACGAAAATCTTAATACCAAAATGTTGAGGAAGATGTAGCTTCGATGCTGTGAAAGATTAAAGATTACCAATTGGCGCGTTTCGTTCTCCTATGTTCAGGAACATAGCGCATCAAAGTCCACGTGCAGTGCGATTAATATCGATATTGATAGAGGATGAATAGGTAAACTAAAAAATAGGATTTTGCAGTGAGCGCGATTGTGTTTTCGATGCGACAGTAGTCAGTAGTTTGAACATTTTTATTGTTATACATTTATATATATATATATATTTGTTATATATATTTTTATTATTATATACATTATACATTTGAGTCTTCCTCAACATTTTGGTATTAGAATTTTCGTCTACCATTAACGGCTGATTCGTTAAGTCCGGGACATCCTGTATATACGTTCCAGCCAGACTTTATAGGATCTTATAGGAAATTTAATTCTGAACAAAAAATTTCCTATAAACGAAAAATGGGTCGAAAAATGCTTCCTTAAGAAGTTATCGCTCAAAAACCTCTGATGCAAGAACAAAAAAGGTGAAAAGAAAATGAAACTAAATAAATTTCTTGAAAAAAAACGATAAAAATAAAAAATAAAAATCTTTTTCTTTTATGAAAATAAAATAAAAGTTAGTTGAAGAAAAAATTATTTTATTTTCATAAAAGAAAAAGATTTTTATTTTTTATTTTTATCGTTTCTTTCAAGAAATTTATTTAGTTTCATTTTCTTTTTATTTCATTTATTTCTTTTCACTTATTCCTTTTGCTCTTCCTTCATTAGAGGTTTTTGAGCAATAACTTCTTGAGGAAGCATTTTTCGACTCATGTTTATAGGAAATTTTTCGTTCAGAATTAAATTTCCTATAAGATCTCAAAGTCTGGCTGGAACGTTCGGTGCCTGTATATTTTATAGGGTTATAAAATTATTAAATATTATCTTACTTTCTAAGTTATTATTGGTCCCTTTAGACACATGTACATACACAGTGTTTGCTGGTATCTAGATAAAATTATCTAGATAATCATCTAGATAAAGAAATGGCTGATCTTTATCTTTAACTAGATGAAGAAATACAAAGTATCTTTATCTTTATCTTAGATGAAAAATATATGTCATCTTATTTAAAAATTGTCTAAGATGACGTTTTCATTACGCAAAAAAGTTTTCCACGCATGCTTCTAAAAATCTATCTAAAATATTTAAGATATATTTTTTATATTATTATTATTAATATATTATAAATATATTATTATTATATTATTAATATATTATAAATATATTATAAATATAAATTAATAAATAAATATTTATCATATTATTTATATACCTTTTTGCTATTATTTAAATATTCTTTAGGAAAAAAGAAAGAATATGTTTTTATGATTTTAATATCCCATTTATAATCTGCGTCACATTTTTTTACAAATATTTATAGTCTTCTAAAATAAACAAAAATATCTAGATAATTATCTGGATTATCGCAATAATTATCTCATCTTTCATCTGGATTAAGTAAAAGCAAAATCATCTCTATCTCATCTAAGATAAATTTACGGATCTTTATCTAGATAATTTTGAAATTATCTACAGCAAACACTGATCATACAAGCTTGGCAAAGGCGTCGCGGAGTGGGACGATTCGTCCGGCTGAATGGCGGCCTACCTGGCCGCTTGCTTACCTGCGAATCCGAGGTCGTGGCACCTACGTGACGGTGCTTACCTCGTTTCGCAAGGTGCGTAGAGGTGTCCGTGAGGGAGCGCGCGTTCCCCCGCACCTGCGGCCACGCTTGCGCGTCGACCACGCAGCCGGGGATGATGGTGGCGGGTGGCCAGGAGAGAGGGTACGAGGGTAGCCTGCTACGGCCGGGTCGACGTCGACGAGAGCTGTCAGAGCGGCGTCGCGACGCGAGCCATCCGCGTCCTTCGGTTCCGTTGACAGCGCGCGCTGACAGTTGAAACCCGGTACAGGTGTGCTCCGCTCGACCGGGAGGACCGGGGGAAATCCTCACCTGTTACGTTAACGAGCGAAGACGGACCACGTCGGACGGCCGTCGAAGCCGCGGAGAGGTCCACGAAGGGACATCGCGACGTCGTCGAAGGCGCCACGACGGCGTAACAGGTACGCGTTATCATGCATCTTTCTTTCTTTCATGGTACCCTCGGGGTCCTTCGGGGTCCTTTCCGAGATTTAAAAAATGGATTCGCAGCGGTTTGTATTTTTCTCGGATTAATTCATGATGTAATGTTTTCCTGGAAAACGCGGCGAATTTCCTGTTGCGTCGCACTTGAATGACATTTTGCGCCTTATTGCACGTCAATTTATATCGCCGAATAATCAATGACAATGATATGCAGTTGATGGAATCAATTGGCGGTTAATGAACGTTTGTAACTTTCGTGTCTTGTTGAATTAATTGAAGTCCACGTACGCAGCTCGCGCTATCTCGATAGCACGTAATGGTCGAGCCTTTTATCTCTTTATCATGAATGATGGTTGCAAAAAGTTATCGATATATATATAATACATAAATTTCGGACACTTTCTCTCTTTATTTTTCATGTTTTTAATTATCGAGAATGACGAAAGTTGGCGTTTATTAATTTCTTTAGGATATAATTTTCATTTCTTTTTCTAAATTTTTTATTTTAAAAATTATAAAAGTTATTAAAGATTTTCCAAATTATTGAAAAGTATAGACTATTATAAACTTTTTTAATATTTTGACGACTATTTTATTTTGTAATTATCTAAAAATATGATTACAATTCGCGAAGTGAGAAAAGCTTCTCTCGTCTCATTATCTCATATTTAAAATCCTTTATTATTTTGTGACATAAATTGTGTAATAAAATCATCGTAATTTGAAAAAATATAATTCTCATAAAACTGTCCGCGACATTTCATAGGATAATCGAATATATGCTATATTTACCTTTGTATTATTGGAAAGTAAATAACTCATCGACCTCGCTAAATTAATTCTTCTTGAACGAATCGAAAATAAATTTGTTCAAATATTAATTCAGTATCATCTCCAACAATATTTGTGAAAATTCATGACCTCGTAATGAACTCAATGCTTGAAATAATTCAAAGACATGAAACGCAGAGCGCTTCCTCGAAAAGCAATAAAGCAGATTTAATAGAAGCGCAGATATCTTTATAATAACGTATATTTTATAATCACGTGTTATATTTTTAAAATGCATTTTATGTAGAAATACTATCGTTTTGCGGTTTGACGTAAAAACTGAATCCACAATCATGTAATTTTACTGAGGAGATGCGTTAGTTACAATAAAATTTTAACTTTATTTCGTATGCGTAAGCGAAATAATCTATATTTGAAATATCGATGAAAATAATGATATATTTTCTTTCAAAATACGTTTCTTTCAAGAAAAATCGAATCTTTCATTTCGGTTTGTTAATATTCATATTGTTAATATTATATTCACACAATGCTAGAATTGCTAGATTAATTTCCACGATAGATTTTTTCAGGAAAAATTTTGATGTGTGTGTCTTAATATTTCGCAAAAAATTCAATTATCTCAATAATATAATACAATATAATTATATATAATACACTCTTTTAAAGTTTGATTTTATAATGAAAAAAATCGATTATTTTCGAAATAATAAATTTTTGTTATTAAAATTGAAATCAGTTTCTTGGATCACTCGGTATATGATAATTATTTACATGTGCAATTAATCGATTGATTTTATGTACGACATAAAAATGTATGATTTATAGTGAAAAAGCAAAAAGGAGCTTATTCAATTTCTCTCTCTCTCTCTCTCTCTCTCTCTCTCTCTCTCTCTCTCTCTTTCACTCTCACTCTCTCTTTTCTCTGTGGTATCTTTCAAAAAAGTATTAACTATTCTCGTGAAGAGCACATAACCATAGCTCTCTAACCGACTAATAAAGATTTAGAATGGCTCTTTAAAAAATACGCTTCCAGGATATCAAGTTCTCGAGCGAACGCGACCCGAACTCTTCTGTAAAATCCTTCTATGAAGGATTTTAACAGCGTGAAATGTGAAATACTTTTTCACGATTATTCAGCGGCGCCGATGAGCATTGCATTCAATGCGAGAGTACTCAAGTAATAATAGTTATTCAAGCGATGATAATTCTTATTGAGGCCAAAATCAATATTGATTGTTCCGAAAAAAGGGCATTCGGATTGTCCGATCTTGCGATAAAGAATCGCGTCTTAAATTCGTATGTTAACGCGAATAGTATCCATAATTATATATATATTTATATCGATATATCTTTAATAGTATGATTATACTGTGCCTATAATTGCCAAATATATAAAATAAATATAACAAATTGATCGTTCGAATTAATAAACACGCAAAAAATATAAATTATACGATGTAACTTTTTGATATTTCTATGTATACAGAATTGTGATTTAAAAAGAAAATATGTTTCCTTTGTTAATTTATTTTCAATCTAATTATATAGTCAAATAAAATCATATGAATAAATATTTTAATAAATATTTTTACGCGAGAAATAAAAAAATCTTCAATGTTTAATTATCGCGAGATAATATTAAATTTTATATGCACTTGTTTATGCGTGTATGTAGCAATAATTGTATTTAAAATTCGTCGTTTTTTTTATTTCATATTATTGCTTGGAATAATGTTATCCAAGGCTATTATGTTTTTGTATGAAAAATTATTTCAAGTTAAATTATATTAGTAAAAAATGGCGTCGCGAGAACTTTGCTTAAGGAAGATTAGTGCCGATCAGGAGCGACAGTTGTTTAAACAAAACTTTAAAGAGCTCTATTTTTCTGAAACGTATATTCATTCATCATCGTTATCCGTCACTCAAAACTTCGCTCATCTACTCTTATTTGTCACGAACTTTAGTTAAAACTCGCGAGAGATGAGATTTTTCTGAGGAGCTGCTGGCTATGTTTCGCATAAAAAAACAGGCCGCTGCTGTGAATTAGGCCGCGACTATCGATAGCGAAACATCTCGCAAAGAAATTGCCACCGTTTAGGAAGCAGGTCCGCTATAAATCGATTATGCGGTAACAATATTAAAAAGCTATTCATGAAGTTTCGCTACCGTGCTATAGCCATGCTAATATTTTCGTTCTTCACAAAAGATACTTGCATATTCGCATGAATATTGATATTTCAGCGAACGAGTATACGAGCGATATCAGTTATTAACTTAAACAAGGGAGAAAGAGAGAAAAAATCTCGCAACCTTCCAATATTTATGGTAATCATAATAGCTTGTCCGATGGATGCATTTTTCGAATGTACCGAGCATCTTACAACTAAATGAGCCGCAAACTTGAGAGCATCGCCATTCCATAAAAAAATATCTTTTTTATATCACGAAATTTATACTTACACGAACTATTAATACGAGCGATAAGTTGGATTAATGATGCGAGTAATTTTCCCTATCTCACCGAACGCCAAGAAATAAAATTTTTCATATAAAACTGAACTGCTGAAGATATGATTTTTATTTTTCCCGATGAATATATAAAAATATATGAATCTATAAAATATACTTTTTATGTCATTTTCAATATTATTTTATTATACATAAACTCTGAAATAGGGACACCTTTCTATTTTGACTTCTATTTTATTAGATGTGATGTAATCATTTATATAATTACAATTTTTTAAATTATTTTTTACATATATTTTATAATATTTTTTTCTCAAGGAGCACCTATTTCTTTCTTCTTAAAGCAGTTTGTATAAATAAAAAATTGTTCGGAAAAGATTTGAGTTTCCAAAACACGTTCTTTTATATTTCTGAAAATTTCAGTAGAACGAGTCAACGCATATTCAGCCAAAACTGTATTGATCTGTCTTGCTCGTTAAATTTATCTTTTTTACATTGTTTATAAATAAATTCTTTTCGTGGAATATTGTTATTTGTAGTTTGCGTTTTCTTTACTCTTATATAGAGCACCGACTTTTATCAATTTCGAATGGCCAAATGTCTGAAAACGACTTCACATCACACATCGTCGTTGAACAAGTTGTTATTGCTCGAAGTCCGTGTGACAGTTGCATATCGAATTCCTGTTTCGAGTATTCAACAAGTACCTCGTGAGAGGCGGTCGAGCGAATCGAACCGACGCGACGCATCGATGTGCTCCGAAAATTCCGAATACCTCATCGAGTCGAGTCCTTAACCAACACGCGCGTGCCATAACTTAATTGCTCTCGGTTATTCAGCACGAACCATCGATAAATATTTAAAAATAACAAATAAATCTTGTGAAGAGAGGATTAATCTAATAATTCGAAAAGCGTCACAAAAAATGCAACAAAATGAAAATCGATAGAAACTGGTATTCGCTCAATTCTAAGATTACTTTCGCTTAATTTAACAACAGAAGCGTGAGGCCATAATAAAATTAAAGAGGAAAAACAAATGCACATACATGCAAATTATTCTTATTTTTAATTATATAATTTTCATTATTATTATTTTCATTTTTATTGTTTTATTTATATTTTTATTATTAATAATATATATAAATATATTTTATTAATAATAAAAATATTAATATAATTAATATTTATATATAATAATATTAAAATATTATTACTAATATATTTATATATATTATTAATAATAATATCAATTATATATATATATATATATATATATATAATTATATATATTATTAATAATATATATATATTATTTTTATTATTAATAATATATATAATTATATTTATTATAAATATAATATATATAATTATATTTATTATAAATATAATATATATAATTATATTTATTATAATTATAATTATTTTTTATTATTATAATTATAATTATTTTTATTTTTAATTATATAATACAGTAATATAATATCTTAATTTTTATTTTACAGTAATATAATATCTTAATTTTTATTCTTTCGATATAATTGAGGGAGAAAATGGCGCGTTTATATCGAACTATATATGCTTTTTTAATATAATATACATAAAGGATGCTTAATGATAATAAAGATTGTAATATGTTAGGTCATTGCTATACTATGTGGTATCCATTTTATAGTAAAACGTGATATCAAGCATGAAAAATAAATTTCTAACGA